GCTAGATCTGGGAGAGGAAGCTAGGAGATCGATAAGGACGAGTCCTTGACACAGACCTGACCCGGGTTCCCCCTGCAGGGAGGCACAAGAAAGCATGACAGCAGAACCCCCTACACACACAGACACACGTGTACAGACACACTCACACACACAGATGCACACACCACAAATTCAGCATTAAGAGAATAAATCAGAGTTCCCTGATTCAGTCATTCCAGAAAGCAGCAGCAGAAAGCCCACACAGCAGCAAAAAGTTAAGTACAAGACTGAGGTGGCTGCTTAGATATGAAGAGCCTGAGAGGCAGCCTTGCAGAAATCCCCTGCAACCCAAAACTCCCCAAACAGCTAACGAGGTGACTTTCCATTTGTCCTGTGAAGAGTATACAAGTCAGCTGCCAGGGAGCTGGTGTCTCAGAGGTCAGGCTCTTGGGAAATTGAGGTCTCGCCATACAAGTCAGTGTGGAGGTGACCACAGTCGCCCTGAAGCCTGTCAGGGTGATATGAATGTCCAGGACAGAATGCGTGAAGGGAACAATCCTGAAAGTGACAGGCCTCAAACCTCAAATTTAAGAAAAGATAACTGAATTGGACAGAGTTTAGATAAAAATGACTAAACTGGGTCCCCTGGTGGTGCAGGGATTAAAGTCTCAGTGTTATCAAATTATCCCCAGCCACTGCTACCTGAGTTGGATCCCACGCCAGGGAGCTAACCCACGTGGAGCAGCAGATCTCTCCTGTCTCGCCCACTGCTCCCCTTAGCAGTGTATTTCAGTAGATCCACTCTGTTTCTGGTGAATCCTCTCACCCCCCCACCTCTGGCCTACACCCCAGTTCTTTTTTTTTTTTAATAAAAAAGGGAGCAAATGTTATTTAAAGAGGAAAAAACAACTGGAGGCACAAGGGGTTAAGTCTCAATACTATGAAGCTTTTGACAGCCACTGCAGAAAAGTTTGATCCCTGGCACAGCAGACCTCTCCTGTCTCACCCGCTGTTCCCCTAGGCAGTGTATTTCAGTGGATCTGCCTGTTCTGCGCCCCACTCTGTCTCTGGTGAATCCTCTTAGCTACCCCCCCTTCACCCCTACCTCTGGCCTACATCCCAGTTTTTGTATGCATAAATAAATAAATCTTAAAAAAAAAAGAACAATTGGAGCAAATTAACTCCTGAAAAAGTTTTCTGTCTTGTTGACCACATTTATTCGACAAGTTGGAGAAAAATAAAAATGCCATTTAGCTTAAGAATTTGTGAGTTGGGCCTCCCCGGTGGCGCAGCGGTTGAGCGCTGGGTTGCGAAGCTGCCCGCGGCCTCTGCGGCGCCGGTTCGATCCCCGGCTGCTCCCCGGCCACCGGAGGAGGGTCCCACATGGCGTGCAGACTTCTCCTGCCGCCCGCTGCTCCCCTCAGCAGTGTACTTCGGTCCTTCTGCCTGCTCTGCTCCCCGCTCTGGCTCTGGTGAATTCTCTCACCCTCCCGCGCTTCTGACTGTACCCAGTGCATGTATAAACAAAACAAACAAACCAGCAAACAAATAAATAAAGCATGCCTCTATAAAAAAAAAAAAAAAAAAAAAAAGAATTTGTGAGTTATCTGCAAATCAACTCATTTCAGGAGTGGAAGAATCCTTCGTCATTTCTTAATATCAAAATTCACACAGGTTTCTCTTGTGAGTATCTTCTACATTTAAATAGCAAACTTGTATCTTCTACATTTAAAGAGCAATTGGGGGCTCCCTGGTGACACAAGGGGTTAAGCACCACACTATGAAGCTATCTGAAGGCTCTGCAGCACGAGTTTTATCCCCGGCCAGCCAGGGAGCTACCCACATGGTGCAGCAGACCTCTCCTATCTTGCCCTCTGCTCCCCTCAGCAGTTTTTTTCATCAGCCTGCCTGTTCTGTTCCCCACTCTGTCTCTGGTGAATCCTCTCACCCCCCACACCTCTGGCCTGTGCCCCAGCTCCTATATGCATAAACAAATAAATCTTAAAAAAAAAGAGCAATTGTACAAAGTCTCCTATTTTCCATATGGGATAAATTATTTGTTTCAGCCAGCTCTCAATGGGGGTGGGGTGGGGGGTGGGTAGCAACTAGAACACCATCATATCCCTGGACAAAAAGCATGGGAATATTCCATCTTGTTGATTTATAGATTTCTTCATAGTTCCTCATCAATTTCTATAGTAGTTACAGTTTTTTCCACATCTCCCAATAGCATATTTAAATGTTGATCATAAGCATGGCATCTGTCTCAAAGCTCTCTGTCATTTCTCATTTTCATATAAATTCGCTCATCCAAGATGAGCCTAATGAGATCCAAGGGTTCGTCTCCTACAAAGTTTATAGTTTGTTGCTGGTCCACGTAGTCCACTATGTTTCAAACCCTATGCCATTTTCCACCTCTGTGGAGAGTATGCAATCCCCCCCCATCCTATCTTGCACGCCCGTCTCCAGAAGTGCGAAGACCAAAGCCCTCCACCCCAGTTCTTTTCTTTTTTTTTTTTTAAAGATTTATTTATTTATTTATACAAGCACTGGGTACAGTCAGAAGCGCAGGAGGGTGAGAGGATTCACCAGAGCCATAGCGGGGAACAGAACAGGCAGACTGACAAAATACACTGCTGAAAGGAGCAGCGGGCGGCAGGAGAGGTCTGTGCGCCATGTGGGACCCTCGCTGGCGTCGGGGGATAGAACCGGCGCTGCAGAGGCTGCGGGCAGCTTCGCAGCCCAGTGCTCAACCGCTGCGCCACCAGGGGAGGCCCACCACCCCAGTTCTTTCATGCATAAATCTTTAAAAATATTTTTTTTTGAAATGACTACATTTTTTTCCCCATGAGATACGAATGGAGGTAGAGATTTAAAAAAATGCCGTTAAGATAGAGCTAAAAATGTTTGTTTGCATCTCTGTAGTTTTGAGGTATCACTCCTCAGTAGTTAACGTTTCTGTCTTTCCCAGATGAGCTCTTGCTAGCTCATTGCTCTAACAATGTCTGGTTAACATGATAGCGATCTGGTCACTGGCGCCATCTAGCGGCAAAATTCTAAGTGGGGCCTGAAGTCGGAAAAGTGAACCACCTACCAGCCTTGATCAAAAATGTTGGCCTCTTCCTCTCTGTAAATGTCCATAACCACAATCATAAGCCCCAGGTGGTTTTATAGAAGGGGTTCGTTTTAGGAACAGCAGAACAATATTTTCACAACAGGGAACAAATTGGAAAATTTAAAGAGAAATTTAGGGGGAAAATAGGTATTAAATTCATAATATAGCTAGGATATTCACACTAGGTTGAATAGTGTCCCCCCAAAGTCCTTGCCCCCATACCTGTGAACACGACCTAATGGTCATGTAAATAGGTTTTGGCAGATGAGTGACTATGAGGGCATACTGTAATGACTAGGGTGACCCTCCTGTGGGCTGCAGCAAAGGCACTTTTGACCTGGCATATCTTCAGTTTTCAATACATTTATTAGGGGAAGATCTGTCCTTTGTCACTGCAGCTGTAGGAAACAACTGTACTAGGCTTGATCAAACTGTACATGCCATTTCTCTTGTTTTCTATTTTTATTTTTATGTCCTATCAAACCTGTCCTTCCTTTAGATCCTGGAAGTACAACTGTCAAGAGAGAACTTTTTAAAAAAATTTTTTTAAAGATTTATTTATGCATACAAAAACTGGGGTACAGGCCAGAAGAGTGGGGGGGTGAGAGGATTCACCAGAGACAGAGTGGGGAGCAGAACAGGCAGACTGACTGAAATACACTGCTGAGGGGAGCAGTGGGTGAGTCAGGAGAGGTCTGCTGCACCATGTGGGTAGCTCCCTGGCTGGGGATCAAACTCGTGCTGCAGAGGCTGTGGATAGCTTCACAGGTTGCGTCTTAACCCCTTGTGCCACCAGGGAGACTCAAGAGAGAACTTCTTTTGTAGACATGTGGAAATGTTTGTAGCCCATTGCTGAAATCACTTACTAGGCCGGGAGGGAGCCAGAGGACAGTTGCTCCTGCTGCGTAGAAATTTGGCTACTGTAAATGCTCTCTACCCAGAAATGCAGTCTTATCTGGCCACCCAACACCCAATTGACAAAAATCTGTCATGAGCTACTTTACATTGCTGTGTATGTATCACATCATTCCTGTCTTTATTATCAGTGTCTTCAGGTTTTGTGTTACTTGGTATGACCTGGTAGGTTGAGGGCCTGGGAACACCCAAATTTCCCCCCCAGTAATTTATTTTACATATAAATGAATGTCAACTGTTTCTTCATTTCATGCTACTTTGTTTTAAAAATGGTTTTTATAGGTAAACTATCTTCCAGGTAGCAGGGGAAACCTGTAACTAGGTCTTGTGTGTAACATTCATGAATGGAGTTACGGCTTTTATAAAAGAGACCCATGGCCCTTCCCACCATTTAAGGACACAGAGAACTCAGGGTCTGCAATCTGAAGGATGTTTCTCATCAGAACCAACTGTTCTGCACCCTCATCTCAGACTTCCGGTCTCCAGACTGTGAGAAATAAATTTCTGTTGTTATAAGCCAACCCAGTGCATGGCATTTTATTATAGCAATCCAAACAAACTCACTGTACATCTTTATGACCTTATACTAACTTATTTCTAGCTTTAAACTTTTATCACAAATTTTCAAATATATACAAAACATGTATTTAATATTTGCTTTATCTGATAGAAAATTTAAAGTCTGGCTATAGCCTATTTAAACTAATAAATGCAGGTATCAGTCACTTTTTGAATTTTTTGCCCTTGTTAAGGCATGTTAGCTATATGTTATCATCAACAGAAAAGTTACATTCCTTAGTTCATTTTGAACTAAACTTTGAACTCTAAAATAAGTGGGTTACTATTCCTATTTTCGATTCTTAAGACTGGCTCAGATTTATTATTTCACCATGAAATATATAAATATTTAAACTCTTAAAACTATTTTATGGTAGAACATCAACATTTTCTAGATAGAAGCTTTTATATTATACATTTTTATTTTGCAAGAAAATAAATTATACAACTTAAAAAATAAAATCCAAAAATTAAGCAGTTCATCAAAATATTTCAGCCTACTGCATACAGAAACTGCTACCATTTAAAATTGTACAGCATTGTCATCTCAGTATGTAGTGGCACACATTCAGAATCGTAGATACCATAGGAGGAAAGACTGCAATCTAGGAACTCCAATTTGTTCAACAACACTCCAGACGACACAGATAGTGTAGATGACAGGAAAGCTCTCACGTAATGTTTATTTCACATGACCTTGGAAGAGTTTGTAAGATAGCATCCCAGTCATTTACATGAAAATAGAAAAAACCAGCTGAGTTTAAGATTACAAATCTTTCTGGAAAACTAGCAAATCTTTCACCCAAATTGAATCTTTAAAATGTGCCCTTTGAGCAGGGCTATGACATGTTACTGTAAATAATGCAAAATATTTAACTACTCCAGTCTATTTTGTATTAAATTTAATAAAAAGTAAAAATAAGAATGCTAACATTTCATTTTTGGAAATTTTTAACATTTATGCACAAAATAAGAGACTTAAATAAACAGAATGCAGGGACCCCTCCAATGAAGGTAAAAATTGGAAGACATCAGAATTTATTTCAAGATCCTCATTAAATCAGCAAAACAATAATGTTCTAATATTTATTTTATTAAAATTGTTTCATCTTTATATTTATACAAGGTGTGTATAAATATAAAATCATAAATTGTGTATCCTGTCTACTGACTCTGGCAATGACATAGGAACAAAGGTTAACATTTTCCAGATGGCTCCATGTTTACATTAGAAGTTGAGTATTCAAAGTATTAACCCCTGGAGCAACCTATTGCCACACTACTTGTGGGGGGACAATTGTGCCATATATGTGTGTGTGTGAGTGTATAAAGACACACACATACAGATATATTGGCCGAGATTCCTTTCCCTTAACTGTGTCAGGTTTCATCCCTGCCCAGCACTAATTTCAAGTGCACATTAGAGAAAAGGAACCTGATAAAGAATACTAGCTGATTCTGTATCTTTAGCAAATTGCTGGTAAGTTTTTTTTTTTTTTCAGATTCTTTTTTCTTTTTTTAATTAGCAAATCTATCATCAAAACCTATCTAAAGAAAATTCAACAATGGTATAGGCACCTTGTCAACTAAATGGTTTCCATAAACACCAAAAAGTAGTTAAACTTTTGAATACATTAAATGAAAAAAATGATGAAAACTTTAAGTCTACAGTATTTTCTGCTGTGTAATTCCCTAAAATACAATTAGGACATAATTAGCTATTAAAAAATTTATAAAATTTAATAGAAAACTTTGCTAGGGATTTAGTTACCCACTTTTGCATTAAATTTGCCTTTATAAATCAAAACATCATGGCTTTCATTCTTAAATTATGACCAAAAAGATTAGAAACTCCAAAAACGTTTTGAGAACAATTATGGTTTAAAACAACAATAAATCTTAAACTTTAAAAAATGGCCTATGACTTTTCCTTTCATTGTTTCTTCCTTAGGCATTCTTGCACTAGATAAGCATATATGCCAACACCGAAGTATCTGTTAAACACGAGGGCCACAATTATTACTAAATTGTTTTAATTTCAAATTTATCCATTGTTAGCAGTCATCTAATTAGAGAAAACAGTGAGCACTATTAACTCTTCACAATATGCTCAGTGTAAGATTTTAAATTAGAAACAAAATTCCAATTTTCTGAGTTTCAGAACATGCATTTGACTCTAACCAGCAAAACTGTGAATGTTTTAACGTTGCTTTCTTTTCTTTCAGCAGGCAGCTCACAAAGCCTCTTGGGATTGGGGACAGAGCCCATGAAATGGTCTTGCAGGTACTTACTAACAATACCATATGCCTTTCAATGCTCCAGCACTCATTTCCTACTGTCTTCAAAACCATACATTTAAAATATTACTTAATATCAATACAAGATATAAAATAATTTGCAAGAAAATTTGAAACATGCACCATAATGAATAAAAGTCCACGCTGAGCCTTATTTGCCCAATGGGGAATAAGCGTTTCTTTTTTAAGTTGTTCTGTTCTCAAGTCCTAAAATCTCGACTACTCTGGGCATTCAGTTGCCAGCAACTAATACGTTGCTACTTTGGATTGACTGAAAGGAATAAGGTAAGTGTTGCCTACTGAACATTTTAAAAATGCTTATTTTTAAAATATATAAATATATATGTACATATATTTGGCAAGTTTACTGCTCATATTAAGATCGCAACAATTTTGCTTATGTTATTCAGGTCTTGTGGTTTTTGTCTTTCTTAGGTGAGTGATATTTAATTGCTACTTTTTAAAACAGAATGCTTCCTTTCCAGAAACCTGAGGTTATAAATCCCTAATCATGAGACCTTAAAATATCAAAATATTCCTAAGCTACAAATTAAGAGATCAGTTATATAACTGTATTATATCAGAGCACATGAGATTTCTGCCTCTGCCTCACTTTAAATAAATTTAGATATGGCATAATAAATATTAGGTATATAAAGTATGATAGTAAACACTTGATGTTTGTTTTTGCTATTTTGACTCTGCAGTTGAAATGACCTACCTATATCCTTACCTTTTCTCAAACAACTGAAGCAATAATACCAGCTCCACTTTTTCAAAACACGCTCTCTAGTCATTTAAGATTAAAAAGTTCTTATCATTTAATAACATACAACCAAACAGCAATCTCCTACTGAAAGAAAGCCAATATTTGTAGTTGGAAAAATTTAACTCCATTTTCAGGGCACTTTAAAAACCCGGCCACTCTACTTAAGTGGGGTCTGAACAGTCTGGTGTGACCCAACACTTCTCTTCTCACCTACCTGCCCTCTCCCTCCCAGTGCTGTGTAGACCAGCTCACTTTTCCCATCAAAGAAGCCAACAGTGCTATTTCTAGCTTTAATTACAGTTAAAAACAAAACATAACAGCATTTTTTCAGTGCACAAATATCTGAAGATCCTTCCATGTGCAAGTAAGTACATTTTTGTAAGAGGAAATAAAGCGATAAGAAGCCCGCCCTCACCCTTCCATCTGTATCTCTTCTGGTGGGTATAAATCAAATTTACTTTTAAAGTTCATAATGGGCTCTTCATGAATGCAAATTTCTCCACAAAACAGCATGCTGTTAAAGAGTGTGCAACATGAAGGGAATGCCATCATGCTAACTAAAGTGATTGGCAAAATATAGTTGTTCTGTAGGTAAGGCAGAGATTTTAATATTTATGTAATCAAAGTCCAAATGAACCATCTTCTGGCACACACCGTTATGACTTTCTGCCCAAGCACTCCAAAATTTGGGTTCTTATCATTGTCCATCATATTAAAAATTATGCCATATATATGAAAGTGTTGATATCAGATTCATCTCTTCTGATATATTTGTGCTCTATTAGCCATTCTATTTGCTCTTTTATCATTTTCTTTTGTGGCAAGAACATGTTTTTCAAAATTTCTACTAATTCAGTCTGAAGCTGGGCATTACTAATTTTTTTCCTCATCTTCATTATTTGTATGATAGCTTCCTAAAATAAAAAAGAAAAATGAAAGAATGTTAACATACTGAATTATTGTAAGTAGAATAAAAAATAAATTGTATGTATTTCATGATCTATGTAATATCTATCCAAAGGATTAGCAATCACTAGGAGATTAATGTTGAAATCAGTATCTTTTACTTAACAAATTAAAAAACTGCTTAGTACAGGGCCTCCCCGGTGGCGCAGTGGTTGAGCGCTGGGCTGCGAAGCTGCCCACAGCCTCTGCAGCGCCGGTTCGATCCCCAGCCACCGGCGAGGGTCCCACGTGGTGTGACAGACCTCTCCTGCCGCGCCCGCTGCTCCCCTCAGCAGTGTACTTTGTCAGTCTGCCTGTTCTACTCTCTGCTCTGGCTCTGGTGAATTCTCTCACCCTCCCGCGCTTCTGACTGTACCCAGTGCTTGTATAAATAAATAATAAAAATAAATCTAAAAAAACAAAAAACAAAAAAAAAAACTGCTTAGTACAGAGATTTTAAAAAACGAGGAAAAGCAAAATTACCTATAACCTCTCCGCTGCAAGAAAACCACACCTGGCATTTTGGTGTATTTCCACACTATGCACATTTTAAAAACTGATCTAACCTGTGAACAATATGAGTACATAATCTGGCATTGTGTTAGACATCAGTTAAGAAACAACAAACCCCTCATATATACTTTCCCCTCTTACTCAGTTATTTCTTTGAGGAGGAGGAGGAGAAGGAGTATAGGCTAGTTGATATATGTTTTAAAGACCACTAATTACTATTTTTCAGATATTTATTGGAACAATAAATTGCATGTTATCTTCAGTTTGTACTGACTCTTACTTAAATTACTATTTTTTAATATTTCTTTTTTATTTATTTATGCATACAAGAACTGGAGTATAGGCCAGAGGTGTGGTGGGCAGGGTATGAGAGGATTCACCAGAGATAGAATGGGGAGCAGAACAGGCGGATCCAATGAAATATAATGCCGAAGGTTAGCTCCCTGGTAAGCGTTGAACTTATGTCGCAGTGGCTGACAATAGCTTGAATTATGTTTTAACTTTCTACACTCATAAGCATTTTTCATCTAAGTCAATTTTATCAATGTTTTCCTCGACAATTTAACTACCATCAAGTTTCTAATAGACATAAATTAGAAAATCATTAAAAATAAATGTTTTTCTCTTTTGTTCCTTTGTCAATAAAAGGCCTTGGTGAATAAAATGGTGAGTGAACTAGAATTTATATAAAAGAAATATAAAAACAGAAAATGAAATAATTATTTGCTTTTAACATACAACGTGGAGTTTTTCTGCAAAGCAGTAAGCTTTGGAATCAGGTGCTATTCAGTGAAAGTAAAGAACCTTCAACTTCTTTACACAGATAAGGTGATTCCTTCACTGTTAGTAGAAAGTCAGGTGAATTTCTCTCACTCTCAGTACATCCAGCTGATCATAGGAATTTATATCAAAGGTCCTGACAGAAAGAAGGAAGAAGGAAAGTCTGTCCCTAAAAGCAGACGCTCTGTCTCATCTGGCAAACTGAAGATTACAGGAATTGGGAGGAAGAGGAATAGCAGCAATAAAAATTCCAACTCCTCCTCTTTTAGCTTTGATAGAGGTGAAAATTGTGGCTATCAGAGAAGATAAGAGGAAATCAGAGAGCAGGGGTCCTATCTCTGTCCCCATTTAATGTGCTGAAGAGGTCACCAGAAGAGCAACAAATGAGATGATGGAAACAAAATGTATTCCCGAATCTCTCTGTTTCCACACAAGATTGTTTGGAGGTAAAAGAACTGCCCTAGTGTCTTCAGTGGCAGGAGAAGGTTATTCTGCAGCAGCAGATGGCAATGACAGTGTGCCATGTAGGCCAAGGGACCACACAGAAGCGGCCACCTCAGAAGGCTCACGAGTTTAGTAAGAGCAGGGGACCAGTAGTCAGAGCAGGGAAGAGGCCATGTGGCCCTTACCAACAGGAAAAAGATTAAACCACAGTTCATCTGCTAGACATCAGCAATAGACAGCGACAGAGAGTCAAATTCCTTAAGTGACAGATAAAGCACTTCATAGCTGCCGAGTGTAAGAAGCCAGTACCCTGACATAACTGCATAGAGGGGACGATCCCTTAACTGTCATTATGAGGTCAAGTGAATTCTTCTCATCCTCATCCAGATACTTGAAGTCTCCCTGGTGGCCTAGGGATTAAGTCTCAGTGCTATCACCACTATGACCTGAGTTGATCCCTGGCCAGAGAGCTAACCCTCATGGCACAGACCTCTGTCTTGCCTGCTGCTCCCCTCAGCAGTGTATTTCAGTAGATCCACCTGTTATGCTCTTCACCTCTCTGGTGAATCCTCTCATCCCGCGGCCCCCTCCTTGACACTCCCCGCCGACACCCCACTTATTATTTGCATAAATAAATATAAATCTTTTTAAAAAAAGATTTATATTTATTTATGCATACAAGAGCTGGGGTACAGGCCAGAGGTGTGGGGGGTGAGAGGATTCACCAGAGACAGAGTGGGGAAAAGAATAGGCAGATCAACTGAAGTACACTGCTGAGGGGAGCAGCGGGTGAGCCAGGAGAGGTCTGCTACGCCATGTGGGTAGCTCCCTGGCTGACCGGGGATCGAACTCGTGCTGCAGTGGCTGTGGATTGCCTCATAGTGCTGATACTTAACCCCTTGCGCCACCAGGGAGGCGCTGTATCCTTATTTTTCTAAGGTACTCAATCACTCTTAACTCTATTTTTTCTAATAAGCCAAGCGTCAACTTACAAAATTCCAAAAAATATTTCTAGTTGAATTATTATATGCAATTCAGTAAACTTGGCAACAAATATGGGACAAACTGACTCAGGTTACTTATTCCTATTATTAAAGAATACAATATTTCACGTGAAACAAAAGGAGTCAGATGTGAACATATGCGCTGCCTGATGCCATTTACATGAAGAGCAGGAACAGGCAGAGCGCGCCTGAGAGGGGATAGGAGAGTGGGCAGGGAACAAGGCTAGAGGGGAGACATGGGGAAAGTACTGGAGAGACAAAAATGTACTGTTTTTCAATTGATGTGAGGGCCACAAAGGCATTTTATGTTTATCACAACTCACTAAAAACTATACTTGAAATGCATTCTATTTTAGGTAAATCACACCAATAAACTAGATAATATAAAAGAGCATTCTCTATTCAAATCTGCCGAACCACTCAGCAAAGGGCTACTATCTTCAAGAAGGTCCTTTTAAAGAAATGTGTATGAACTCAACACCTTCTTTTGCTTTTTCTTAAGATTTACTTTTATTTATTAATTGCTAAATAGAAAAGCTGATTTTTATTTATTTAGTCATCTTTTCTGCTACTTTATTATATCATATGCTATATAAATAATGAAAAACTGTTCATCTTTTCCTCATATTTGTTTCATATTTTATTGCATTGGCCAGTAGTTTCAAACACTATTGAATAAAAATATTGAAAGTGGCATAATTTTGCTTTAATGAGACTTTTTAAATAAAACTGTATAATTTGTAATAGTTATTAGTTTTCCTATTCAGAAGGTATCATAATTCTAGCTTTAAAATGTTTTTAAAATTTTCCCAAATTTCATATCAAATGGAATTATAAGTCTTTTGAAATTATATAAAAATCTGAAAATTCCCATTCTAGAATTATAACTTGTAGCTGGGGTACATTTATTCAAGTGTGGTCAAAGGGAGACACACTTAAAACCAATGCTCTGCTCAATTAACAGATTTGGCTCCACCAGAGGCCACCAAGCCATATAGATGTCGCTGCACCATCATTACAAATTTAAATTCCAGTAAAATGAAAATTAGCTCTTCCTTACAAAAAGTTTGAATATCTAAATGCTTTTATTTTATTTTATTTTTTTTTTATAGAGGCATGTTTTATTTATTTATTTATTTGTTTGTTTGTTTGTTTTTGTTTATACATGCACTGGGTACAGTCAGAAGCGCGGGAGGGTGAGAGAATTCACCAGAGCCAGAGCGGGGAGCAGAGCAGGCAGAAGGACAGAAGTACACTGCTGAGGGGAGCAGTGGGCGGCAAGAGAGGTCTGCGCACCATGTGGGACCCTCCTCTGGTGGCCGGGGAGCAGCCGGGGATAGAAACGGCGTCACAGAGGCTGCGGGCGGCTTCGCAACCCAGCGCTCAACCACTGCGCCACCAGGGAGGCCCTCTAAATGCTTTTAAATTCAAAAAAGTTTGAAGATTATAAAAACACAGTTTTTCTAAATGTAGACATTCTGTCTCAACATTACAAACCTGGGTCCTTAGTATTCGTAGCTGAACTATTCCCTCATTCTCCTCTTCTCTCATCCTTTCCGTAGTAAGCTGCAAGCGTCCAATCAAGTTGATTTTACCCCTTTTCTGAACTTTTGCATTTTTTCTACAAAAAAAAAAAAAAAAAAAAATCAAATATTTCACAGTGAAAGGCCTTTTAAACATCTTATCATGGCAACAATGTCTGAGAAAAAAGATTTAGAAATGGTCTAAAAATTAATATCCAGAATTATTTAAAGTAATAAAACGCTTCATTTTAAATGAACCCTATGATTTCTCTCAAACATGATAAAATGTTATCATGCTAATAAACTGTGGTAATCAAACATGGTAATATAATAAATAACAAAATCAATATAATCTATATTGCCACAAAAGTGATTAGATGACTAAAGATACACGGCTGTAATTCAGCACTACCTTCTCACTGGATCTTAAGAAAACAGTGCTTTGCAGGGATCAATTTGCTATGGTGTACAAAAGGATACTTTCTTTGCTGTGTTTTTTTTTTTTAAAGATTTTTATTTTATTTATTTATACAAGCACTGGGTACAGTCAGAAGAGCGGGAGGGTGAGAGAATTCACTAGAGCCAGAGCGGGGAACAGAACAGGCAGACTGATGAAATACACTGCTGAGGGGGGCAGCGGGTGCAACAGGAGAGATCTGCGCACCATGTGGGACCCTTGCCATTGGCCAGGGATCGAAAGGGCGCTGCAGAGGCTGCAGTCAGTTTTTCAGCCCAGCGTTCAACTGCTGTGCCACCAGGGGAGGCCCAGAATGCTTACTTTGAAAAGCGATGTATTATAGTATAATTTCAGACACCAAAATGTGTCTGTGAAAAAATGAGCAAAGAAGAAAATATCTCCAGGTCATTAATATGCTTAATAAACAGCCAAATGACATAAATCCAGAGTGATGGCAATATGCAGAAATTTTTGTTTTAGGTATTATACAAAATATTATTTCACTAAAAAGAAGGCACTAAAATTCAAACAAGGTATTTTTATTTTAGATCAACCAACATAAACCTTACATTAAACTGAACTCCTGGTTCACTGAGAAGAGGGTACCTTCTGTAAAGTCTTTGGGCGAATTGACTTGAGGTTCGTATAATAAAACTTGCCGTTTGAGCTTCGGGAAAGCTACTAGAGACTATGAAGAATAAAAGGCAAAATAATTAGCATCTACAAACAATACAGAATACTCAGATCAATTCTGCAACATGACCAACATAGGGGAAAACAGATAAAAGTACAAATCTAGAACTCAAACTTTTATTTATTATGTCCATGAATATAATAATGTAAATGCATAATGAGGAAAGAGACTGAGGAGAAAAAGAGTTGGTTATGAGGAAGCACTATGATTCTCTTTATAATCAGACTAGAAATTACAGGTCATATATGGCTATAGCAGATGCCACTTGCCAGTTATATTCCAGTTATATGCCAGGTGGCTAAAAAGAATCTATTATAAGCCTCAAAAGGACCAATGTTTTCTAATTCTTAGACTTTGGGTTATCATAAAATCTTTGAATACATCCTCAGTATAATAATCTTTAGGCATACTACTCCCATGTAACATTTTAAATACCAACTCAATCTTTTTCTCCTTTTTTTTTCCTCCATTTTGGTAACTTATTTTCAATTCATTTTTTTCCATATTTATCTCACTAGGGTATTTTCCCTGGTTAAAGATCACTTTGAGAGTGTTATGAATTTATAAATTTATTACAAGCAAATCAAGACACATTTCCTGCTATTTAAGAGTATACAATCTTAAAGACAAAGGAAACCAACCCATAAAGTCCTTCTAAGCTCAGCATCTGGGAGTTCAGTTGCAAGTTTTAGATTTTCAAAGCTGATTTTCTCTCTGGGTCTTTGGTTCCATGCAAACAACACAGCCAGCTGAAACGTCGTTACTTCCAAATCATATTGACCTACTTCATTCTTAAATGTTATCTATAATGAAACAATTAAAAAAAAAAACAAGAATCTTTTCATAATAAACACCATCTATCTACTACATATCTCTTACATGAGATTCTATATGAAAAAGACTGCTAGTTGTCTTCCAATTTCTATTCATTCTTTCTTACATGGTAATAAAGATTTCGCAGACCTTAATGACTGCCCAGAATAAAGGCTCATCTCCCAGCTTTCTCTGGAGCAAAATGTGGCCATGGACTGAGATCTAGCCAATGAGATGTAAGTGGAAATGGCCGGGGAAACTTCTAGAAGTTGTCCTTAAAGGTAGGCATACCCTCATCTTTCCTTTCCTGGTGGGCTGGAAGACAGACATAGTAGGGATGATATTGGAATCTATAGACAAGGGCAATACCTTAACAATGGTGATATAACCAGAAGCCTATATGCCTAACAACTTCGATGGACCACAGATGTACTACGCCTCCTCAAACTTATTAAGAGAGAGGCAAGATCCAGCTTGTTCTAGCAAATCTTATTTGGAGTCCTGCTACTTTCAGCCAAACCATAATCTGAACTAACAAGCCATCTACTTACAATTCCATTTGACATTAGGTGATGCCAATGTAATTTTCTACCACTATGATTTTTTTTGTAGAATTCTTCTACTTCAGGTATCAAATCCTCCAGTTCAGTGGGAAGTGAGACAAAGACTTTCTCAGAGCTTCTTGACCAGGCACCAGCATTCAGAATTTTAATATTAACTGAATCAGCTACAGACAAGAAAATAAAAATAAAATAACCTCAACAATGGATAAAATTAAAAATACAGGGTAAACTTTGATTAAAAATAAACAAAACTAAATATTTTGTTAAAAGTGTCCTTTTGTTTTAAAATAAGCATTAGCAAGCAAATCTAGCATTCTGCTTTGCCTGATGTCTTCAAGGATGTGAACTTTCTAAGTGTTATCGGCAAGGCTTATTTTCAATCAGTTAGAAAACAAAGATACACGTTTAAATTTTTAAAAATATAACTAAAATAATACCTGGTAATGCCAATTTATTATTTTTGTGCATTTCCTTAAAAGCCTGGTTCAAATCTTCAGATACTTTTATGTCCTGAAACATTCTAGCAAGTTTGTTTACATAATCTGCTGGCATACCAACTTCCTATGAAAACAAAAGGCAGAAGAGGCAATAAATAATACATAACCCAAAGTATATCTACTATCTGGAAAAAATCTAATGGAAAACTAAGACTTAAATGCTTCAATACAAAATTCTTCCTGTCACTTTCATTATTACAATGATTATAGTCTTTTTTTTTTTTTTTTTTGTGGGACCCTCGGTGGCGGCTGGGGAACGAACCAGCGCTGCAGATAATTGTGCAGAACCAGCGCCACAATTATCTCATTGTGGCCTCGCAGTCCAGCGCTCAACCGCCGCACCACCAGGGGAGGCCCTACAATGATTATAGTCTTTACCTGGAAAGATCAAACTTGATTCTCAGAAACTAAAGTGAATAGCAAGGCACTCCTGCCTTTCTTTGCAGGACTCCAGTACTAATTTCCTTTACTGCAGTACAATGAAATAGCATCAGTCCCCCAGTACATACTGCAACTTTCAGTTATTACTACATATTATATGCAGTAATGCATGAAGTACAAACTTCACTTCTAGTTCCTCAATCTAAAAACCACCACACAAATAACAGAAACCATCATAAACGATCAATCAAAATATTTCTTCAAAATTTGTCTTCATTTATTCAGCTCACCATAGACAGCAAAACATACTTTCGTTGCAAACTGGTTTCCTAGGGATAAACTCTTACGACATTTTACAAAAATGGAAAATGAAAACTGGTAACTGGCCAACAAAGATGATAAAAATATACTAAAAATAAAAACAATGCTGGAACTAAAAATAAATATGACACAAATGGAGTTACAGAAGAAAGGGCTGACTGTGGTTGCTATATTGCTACAGCCAGAGCTGCAGACATTTTTGCAGAACAGGAACTTGGTGAAGATAAATTATCAACACAAATGAGAAAGGTAGTGACAAGAGAGTACGATGCACCAGAGGAGATGATGTCAGCAGAACCTTTCTCAACATGAAAGCCTAAAAGACAAAATGCTGGAAGCTGATCCAAACTAAAAGATTATTACAATTCTCCGAGGCAAAGAGATGTTCACTCTGTATTATAAGTCACATAAAAGGACAAGTGGTAGTCAAACTACTCTTCCTTTTAACACAGCTCTGTTGAACTATGATTCATCTACTATGGAATTCATTCTTCTAAGGTGTACAATCAGTGGATTTTAGCATATGTACTGCTATCAATCACCACTATATACCACATTTTCATCACTTCAAAAGGAAACTCCATACTTACTAACAATCACTCCCATTTCTTCTTCCCCAACCCAGCTCCTAGAAACTACTCATTTACTTTCTCATGGATTTGGCTATTGTAAACATTTGTTATTACTGGAATCACACTATATGTGGTCTTTTGGACTGGCTTCTTTCATTTAGTATAGTGTTTACAAAGTTCATTAATGTTGTAGCATGTGTCAGTACTTTACTTCCATATTACCAAATAATATTCAATTATATGGAAAAAACCCCATTCATTCATTTTTGTGTGGTCATGTGATTCATTTCTCTTGAGTAAATTGAAAAGAGCAGAATTGTTGGATAAACTCTGTTGTGACTTTTTAAGCAATTGTCAAGCAGTTTTCCAAGGTGGCTGCACCAATTTCTTTTATCACCAGAAATGTATCAGTGTTCGATTCCTCCTCTTTCTTGCCAACGCTAGTCTGTCTTTTTTTTTTTTTTTTAAGATTTATTTATTTATGCATACAAGAACTGGGGTACAGGCCAGAGGTGTGGGGGGTGAGATGATTCACCAGAGACAGAGTGGGGAACAGAATAGGTGGATTGACTGAAATAAGCTGCTGAGGGGAGCAGTGGGTGAGTCAGGAGAGGTCTGCTGCACAATATGGGTAGCTCCCTGGCTGGGGACTGAACTCGTGCTGCAGTGGCTGCAGATAACTTCATAGGTTCTGTCTTAACCCCTTGCGACACAAGGGAGGCCCTATTCTCTGTCTTTCTAACTGTACCTATTGTAGTGGAGTAATTATCTCATTGTGGCTATGACTTGCAATTTGCTAATGACATTAAGGTAGAGCAAATCTGCAGTTACGGGCTATTTAAATATCTTCTGTGAAGGAATGCTTATTCTAATCTTTTGCTCATTATCTTTTTAAAAAAATTTCATTTTTATTTATTTATGCATAAAAGAACTGGAGTATAGGCCAGAGGTGCAGAGGGTGAGAAGAGTCACCAGAGACAGAGTGGGGAGCAGAACAGTGGATCCACTGAAATACACCGCTGAGGGGAGCAGTGGGCAAGACAGGAGAGGTCTGCTGCACCATGTGGGTTAGTTCCCTGGCTGGGGATTGAACTCATGCCACAGTAGCTGGGGATAGCTTGATAATGCTGAGACTTTAGCCCCTTCACGATCAGGGAGGCCCCCCCCCCCATTACCCACTTACTGCTGAGTTATAAGAGTTCTTCATATATTCTGTAGTATCAAAAATATAAATTGCAAATATTTTCCTACCACTGTAAGTTTTTTACAAAGAAATGAAACACTAATTCTGAAAATTTCTTATGTTTTACACTAGTGTACTAAATACTTATTCATTTTACTATTTTTTAATTTCCTGTATACTTATAACAGAAATTAAGCATTTCTAAGATTCTGACAAAATTTCTATATGTACAAGTCAGTCATTTTCCCCACTGTTTGTTGATATTAAGACTGCTTTGCAGTTTGTTTCCATAGTAATTTTTTATGAAATATTTAAAAATATTTTGCTATTTATTAATTTCTTTTTTGTTTTTGCTTTTTTAAATTTATTTTATATATTTTTACAAAATGTATGTATTTTCATCTTGGTTATAGTCCCCTTACAATTCTGTGGTACATACACACAATGGAATATTACTCAGCAATCAAGAAAGATAAACTCATGCAATTTGCAGCAACATGGATGGAGCTGGAAGGGATCATGCTCAGTGAAATAAGCCAGAAAGAAAAAGAAAAATACCGGATGGTCTCACTCATAACAAGAATTTAGAAAACCTAAATAATGGGCCAGGAAAAAGACTATTTATAATAAAGTAAAAATCAAAATCAACAAGCAACTATAATCCATAGTAATTTTTAGTACCTCGTACCACCATGCAAAGCAGGGCTATCTGTATATCTGTAATTTGAAATATCTTTATAAGAGACACATAAAACACACACATACATAATGTTAACACATATAATTATATAATACATAAATATATTACATATATAATCATACTATATACACAAATGAAGACATATACATTTTGATATAACTCAAATTCCATTAGAATGGACAAAAAGGAACAGACTTTATATTCTGATTTAGATTGCTAAATAAGCCATCAACTTTAAGCTGTTATTTCTTTTTGCTATTTAGAACTATTTATTTACCAACACTTCTATAATTAACCATACAGTACTGAAAACATCTTAAAAATGATTTGTGCTGTAAGTAAGAGCAAAGGTTTCTCCAAACATCCTTATTAATCAAACATACTGTATGTGGGTGCCGTCTCCAAAAAAAGAAAGAAGAAAATATACTTTATTAAATATCACTTTTATATAATTGATGCTTTATTCTTATAAAATATTCCCTACTTCATTGACATTAGTTACCACCAAAATGTATTGCTTAGCACACATCCGAACCATGTTTTATTTTTTTTGAGTTTTTTAATAAACTACCTTATTGAGATATAGATCATATAGCATAAAATTCACCTATTTTAAGTGTACAATTCAATACTTTTTAGTAAATTTATAGATTTGTGCAAACATCCTCACAATTCCATTTTGGAACAATTTACTATCTGGAAAAAAGATCCCCAGTGCCCACCATCTGCTGTCAATTTCAAGCAACCACTATTCTGTTTACTGTTTCTATAAATTTGCCTTTTCTATATAGTTTGTATAAATGGATTATACAATGTTTTATATTAAAAAAATCAAATAGTTAAAAAAAGTTACTTACTCTTAGCCACTCTACCATATTCTCTTCAATTTCACTATCAGCAGAGATGTCTAATATAAGACGTCGTGTCAAATGAGCTTTGTGATATCTCATAAAAACATCTTTGTTTTGTACATATTTAAGTACCAAGAGCTGCAAAGAAAACAAAGTTACTTCAATTCTTACATACTCTTCACCATTTCTCTCATTCAGATCTTCTACATTCCCCAACTGTCAAATTCAGAAATTTATATAAACATATGTAGGTAGGGGTCTACCAAACTGACCATCTCCGAAAAGTAACCAGTCCTGATTATAAACTGACTTTACCAATTTAAAAACAAATTTTAAACAGTAACCAAATAACTTTTCAGTTCCTGTATCATAAATTTCATTTTATATAAAATGTGATTAAACTTTACATAAGCTCTTTTGAATTTTCTCTTTTACATATCTTCTTCACTTTTTTTCCTGATGCTCATCTCCTTTCTAAGCCTTCTGTCTATACTTAATAGCTTTACTTCTTATTTTTTCCTCTTGGTATTCATGGGTTTACATCTCCTATTATGCTAACAACTGGAAGACAGATAAAAATGAAAGCAAATAACTCTTTTCATGTACACTGATTCAACTCTAGTTATCTATTTCAGGTTTCTACAAAAATAATGAAAAAACTCTTAGTCTCTTAACTATCATTCCAAACACCATCAGCTCATTTTCCCTTCCTTTGTCCTCTACTTTGCCTAAAAAGAATTGAGATGGCGTCAGAATTATATGCTATTTTCCTTTCTGGCATTATAGGATAAAAATTTTTAAGAAGAAAATAACTACTGTTTTAGAGATTTTGCACTGCAAAATTTCATATTAGTTACTTGGATATATTATTAAAAAAAAAAAACTAATGCTATCAGGACAGTCTTATAAGTAACACAAATATTCAAAGTAAGATAATTTTTTAAAATTGAAATAAAAAAATATTCATGTACCACTTCTTTAAGTTTTGCTTCAATCTCTTCAGAGGTTAATTTTTTGCTTAATGGTGTTTTTCTTAGCAACATATCACAGTAATTGGCAAGCAGCTCAGGGCATTTTGACTCAGGCTGAGTTTTTAATCCCACCCTAAAAAACAAATTAAAAACAGTTCATGAAAAATTATTCTTTACAAATTTTCTCTAAAGACACTTTTCACAAATTACTTATAAAAATCCAGTCATCAGGGCTGGGACTAGGGCTGCGCAAGAAGACACCTAGGGTGCATAATTTAAGAAGGTACTCACTTTTAGTGAAAGATTCAGTAAGTGATGTATATATGTACATTTGTAGGAGGAGAGCTGAGCCCCTAAATTTTGTACCCTAGGTGCTTCCTTGTTACTCTATAGTGATGGCCTTGCCATTGATATGTAAAAGACTATTCAGATACCTACTAAGATACTTGTGAAAAACTATAAATCTCTGCATATTTGTAAATTAACCTTTAAATTTTTTTGTTACTAATATATCAAGATATAACTGTTACTTCACTCTTTGAAATGTATCCAATGTATCCTAAACTCTATAAACATGTTATGTTTATAAATATAAAAAATGGATAAGAAGCTTTTTTATTTTAATTTTTAAAATTTTCTTACATTGTTGTTCATTTTTATACAATATTTGATTTCTTCCCTCAGGTGTAGTCCCCACAAATCTCCCACCATCACATCACCCACAACTGTCACCATAGTTCCTCTATAGGAAACTTTTTAGAGACCTTGTATCTCTATTCCACTTTACCAGGAGTGAATTGTATTTCTATGCTTAAGGTCTTGCATTTATTCTTTACCTTCTCTAAACTATACATGTAAAGAAGTTAAATTCAACATTTTATTTTATTTTATTTTGTGGGACCCTCGCCGGTGGCAGGGAGAGAACTGGCGCTGCAGAGGCTGCGGGCAGCCTTGCAACCCAGCGCTCAACCGCTGTGCCACCAGGGGAGGCCCTTAAATTCAACATTTAAAATTTATTATGTATATAAAATTCCATAATTACTTTTCCAGAGCTAAGTTATCTAAATCATTATAAGTATGCTATGTACTAAAACAACATAATCATATAGTGTGTATAAAATAAAGGAATAATGTGCAAAATTTTATTGCTTATGTGCCATTGCTAAACAAAGTGGATTTTACTGCTTTGCCCATATCAATTTTTCCTCTATCAATTATTAATTCCAGGAATCAAAGTAGGTTTTATTTCTACTTTCATAAATTGATGTCTTTGCCCTAAAAATCTTATTCACACTGTAGTAGATAGGGCTCTAAAAAGTTTTTTTTTTTTTTTTAAAGATTTATTTAGTTATGCATACAAGAGCTAGGATATAGGCCAGAGGTGTCGGGGGTGAGAGGATTCACCAGAGACAAAGCGAGGAGCAAAATAGGCAGACTGACTAAATACAATGCTGAGGGTAGTAGCACACTGCTGAGGGGAGTAGCACACTGCTGAGGGGAGTAGCAGGTGAGACAGGAGAGGTCTGCTGCGCCATGTGGATCAGCTCCCCAGCTGACAATGGAACTGGTGCTGCAGTGGCTGCAGATAGCTTCACAGTGCTGAGACTTATTAACCCCTTGTGCCACCAGGGAGGTCCTGGAAAAAATTTTTTTCATCTTATGATGTTATTCAATTTGTTAAGCACTTCATTCCTGAGTTATTTGCTACAAAAAAAAAAATACTGATTCTAACTGAATCGTTAGAAATTTATCTTCTGTATAGCAATACCTGTATTTCAAAATATTCCATTCTCATGCAATCTGGCAGTTTTTTTTTATAGTTTTACCATGGAAAGAATCAAGAGAAGTAAGTATTCTTTGCAAACTAGGGGAGAGCAATTATGAAAGAATTGGAAAGGAAAAATCACAATGAGACTTTCCATTAGAAATCTCCATTTTAGAAAAGAGTAGATATGGAAGCTGAGGATTTAGAAATTGATTTCCTTACAACTATCCATGGAATACTCTAAGGAAATGTTTCTGTATCTCTTGAGGTAGACATATGCCAATCTGAAGGCCAATAACTTATCTCACAAGAATTTGTTTATCTTTCACCAAGCTACTAGCATTGTCAGCATTTAGTTCCTGCCCAATTCAATGGTTTAGCTCCCTTCCTCAGATAGCTGTCAACCATTTACCCTGATTCTTTTTTTTTAAGCTATTTTCTCTTTTGTTCTATAACTCTATTTATTTGTTTATTAATTTATTTTTCCCCACCATTATCTTTTTTTTTAAAAAGATTTTATTTTATACAAGAACTAGGGTACAGGCCAGATGCGTGGGAGGGTGAGAGGACTCACCAGAGAAAGAGCAGGGAACAGAACAGGCAGTCTGATGAAATACACTGCTGAGGGGAGCAGCGGGCAAGCGACAGGAGAGGTCTGCCGCGCCATGTGGGACCCTTGTTGGCCGGCAGGGATCGAACTAGCGCTGCAGAGGCTGCGGACAGCTTCACAGCACGGCGCTCAACCACCTGCGCCACCAGGGGAGGCCCCATTTACTCTGATTCTTTAAAGGTAGTGTATCATTCTCTAACCCATCCCCTTATCCCCACTGTTTTAGTTATTCTTTGTTCTGTTGTTTTCAGTTTTTAGCTATTTTACTATGATGCAACTAGGAATGGTTTTATTTGTATTTTAACCTGCTTGGGATTTAAAGAGATTCCTGAATCTAAGAGTTGGTATCGTTCATCAATTTATACCTCCTTTTCTGTTTTCTATGATCACAATTACATATTGCTATAGTTATTTTACCTTTCCTCGGGTAACAATTTCCACCCATTTGCCCATTAATATGTACCATTATTATCTTATCACTTCAAGCTTATTATTACTGATATGTAATTCACATAATATACACTTCATTCATTTAAAGCTAACAATTCAATGTTGTTACTGTATCACAAGGTTGTGCAACCATCATAAAAGTTTAAAACATTTTCATCATTCCAAAACGAATTTTTCCCCATTTTTAATAAACTTCATTTTTTAAAAATTTTTTTAAAACAATATTTGCTTCCCTCCACCCCCTCAGGTTGAGTCTCCATAGAATTTCCTTCCCCAAGGCACCTGTGCACCATCACCACAGTCTCCTGTTCTCTTCCCTCCCTCCCTATAATCCCTCTCCCTCTCTCCCTCTGACCCCTCCCCCTCCTCCTCCCCTGCAGTATGTCACTGATTTATAATTGTCTGTTTTTCCTTTGTTATGTTTTGTAATTATTTTTTTTACATTGATGTTTTATTTGGCTCCACTATATTCCTGTTATAAGTGAAATAAGCCAGAAGGAAAAAGAAAAATATCACATGCGCTTCTTTGTCCTAGGAGTATTGCTTAGCTGGAACCAAACTGAGATTCTCAGCTACTCCTTCTCAAGGAAACACAGCCAGAAATCCTCAGTTAAAGAGAAATCAAGTAATGGGCCTCCCTGGCGTAGCGGTTGAGCACTGGGTTGCGAAGCTGCCCGCGGCCTCTGCGGCACCAGTTTGATCCCCGGCTGCTCCCCAGCCACCAGAGGAGGGTCCCACATGGCACGCAGACCTCTCCTGCCGCCCGCTGCTCCCCTCAGCAGTGTACTTCGGTCCTTCTGCCTGCTCTGCTCCCTGCTCTGGCTCTGGTGAATTCTCTCACCCTCCCGCGCTTCTGACTGTACCCAGTGCATGTATAAACGAACAAGCAAACAAACAAATAAATAAATAAATAAAACATGCCTCTATAAAAAAAAAATATACATATATATATATATAAAAAGAGAAATCAAGTAATACTTCTAGGAATCAAGCTGTTACAAACACTTTCACACACATACAATGACACTATACAATATTATTCACTGGAGTGCTACTAGCAATATCAACATATCATAAGCTACTTAATGTGGCAATAGGTTCAATTAAATAAATTACAGTACATCTACCAGATTGCATGTCATGCTCCTATTAAGAATAATAAAGTGATTAAAAAAACCCGTAGCTAACACTCAATGGTGAAAGACAGAGTGTTCTCCGAAAGTCAGGAAGGAGACAGCACTGTCCACTGCAGTCTATCACTGTCCTAGAAATTCCAGTTGGAGCAATCAAGCAAGAAAAAGAAATAAAAGGCATCCAAATTGAAAGAAGTAAAAATATCTCTATTGAGCAGATGTCATTATTTTGTATTTACACAGGGAAGTTACTAGAGCTAATGAATGAAATCAGAAAGTTGCTGAGTACAAGATCAATACACAAGAATCAGTTGTATTTTTATATACCAACACTGAACAATTAAAAAGGAAATTAAGAAAGCAATTCCATTTATAATAGCATTAGAGAGAAAGAAATATGCAGGAATAAATTTAGCCAAGGGTATAGAAGCTTGGGCAAAAGGATTATCCATGAAAAGTTGTAGCTTGGCATGGTGTGGCAGGACCCAGAGCATTAGGTGTTTAAGCCCAAACAGGCAAGGGTGTGTGACATGGAGAAGTGCCAGGTATGGCATATGAGAAATCAAATAGGGAAGAAAGGTGTCCATGCGGGGGGAAAGCACAATGGGAGGGGTTAAGATTTCAGAAGGATAAGGAAGGAATTCATGTAGGGGTGGCCCAGCTTGCAGAGTCACAGTCTCAGTAAGGTGAAGAATGCACCCACAAGGAAAGCAGACCTGGCACTGCACCTGTACATGCATGAATGCAGCCTTATGTTTGTCCACCGAGAGGGCCTGGGAGAAGTGAAACCCAATAAAATGAATATACCAAGCATCTGATCTTGTCCACTAAAAGGACCTAGGGCTTTGCGAGAAAATGGCTGATTCTGAGTCCAGATAAGGAAGAGAAGAAAATGAGTCTGGAAATGCTCATGTGCCAAAAAGAAGTTTCCAATCACATGGGTCCAAAAAGAAGCTCCCACTAGCAAAATCGAGCACAATTTAAAAAGTCTAAACAACTAATAGTAGTAAATTATAATCTACTGGTTAGAATAGGAAACCATAAGTCCATACTTACATGATAAATTAATGTTTCTACTGAAAATCTGATGAGCATTGGGATCTTCATATAGTTTTAAAACACTGCCACAAAATACTTAATTACAAAGAGAAAAAGAATAAATTTGCTGTGGGGAAGTCTGGCAGATACCAACTCAATGAAATGATCAAACTAAATAAGATTAGTAATGGGATAAATCAAAATCATGCACTCTCAGATAAGAGGCAATGAGAAAAACAAAATTTCACCTCTGTCAAAGATGAAAAATGTGAAAATAATCATAAGGAAACATCACATTGATTCAAAATAAGGGACACTCTACAAAAGTAGGTGGTAATCACAAGTGTGAAGGTCATGGGAGTCAAAGAAAGCCTTGGGAGATTTTCCACCAAAAGAAAACCAAGGAGCTGTAACAACTAAATGCAACACATGGTTTTGTACCATGTCCTTTTCCTTTGCAAATAAATGATGCGATCAATAATGAAACTGAAAGGTTCTGAGGTTTTAGAGGGCAGTTCTGAGGTTTCCTGGCTTTGATAGTTATATTGTAATTATATTTGTAGAAAATGTACACTCCTGTACTTGGAATGATTAACTTCCAAAGAGAAAAAAATAGTAAGGAATCGTACCTACAACCTTATGAACACAAATTTGACAACTAAGAGAAATGAACAAATTCTTGGAAAAGCACAACTGACCAAAACTAAAGATTGATTAAATAAAAAAGCTGAATAGCCTTATATCCATTAAAGAAATCAAACTTCTAATCAATATTTGCCCATAAAGAAAACTCCAAGCTCAGATGGTTTTATTTATAAATTCCATCAAATACTTAAGGAAGACGTAACAGCAATTTTATTAATTCTTTTAGAACATAACAAAAGGTGGGAATAACTCCCAATCCTTTTTATTAGGTCAGCATAATCCTGATACCAAAAACTGACAAAAATGAAAAATGTAAAAGTCACAAAGATGAGAAAGGAAGAGGCAAATCCCTCATCAATACAGATGAAATTTTTTTTTAACAAAACATTAATGACATTACAAGAATATAGAAAGAATACATCACTAAGTAGGGCATATTCTAGGAGTTCAATTGATTAAATGCTTGGTAAAAAAAAAAAAAAACACAATGTATTTCACCACATTAAAAAGAAAAACTTTTTTTTTTTTAAGATTTATTTATTTATACAAGCACTGGGTACAGTCAGAAGCGTGGGAGGGTGAGAGAATTCACCAGAGCCAGAGCGGGGAGCAGAGCAGGCAGAAGGACCGAAGTACACTGCTGAGGGGAGGAGCGGGCGCGGCAGGAGAGGTCTGCGTGCCTTGTGGGACCCTCACCATCGGCCAGGGATCAACCGGCACTGCAGAGGATGCAGCAGCTTCGCAGCCCAGCACTCAACCGCTGCACCACCAGGGGAGGCCCAAAAGAAAAACTTCATAATTATTTCAACACAGGGCCTCCCTGGAGGTGCAGGGATTAAAGACAGTGTTGTCAAGCTATGGGCATCACTGTAGCACACCATCCTGAGCCAAGTTCCATCCCCTCCCAGCCAGGGAGCAACCCACCTGGCACAGTAGGCCTCTTCTGTCTTGCCTGCTGGTCCCCTCAGCAGTGTACTTCAGTAGCTCTGCCTGTTCTGCTCCCCACTCTCTCTGGTGAATCCTCTCACTCCACCCACACCTCTGACCTGTACCCCAATTCTTGTATGCATAAATACATAAATCTTTAAAAAAAATTATTTCAAAACAGAAAAGGGATTTAATAAATGCCCAAATCTATTAATTACCAAAACTTTGAGCAAATTAGGAATAAAGGATAATCTAATTAAGAACATCATTGAAGGGCCTCCCCTGGTGGCACAGCGGTTGAGCACTGGGCTGTGAAGCTGCCCGCAGTCTCTGCAGTGCCGGTTTGATCCCCGGCCGCCGGGTGAGGGTCCCATATGGCGTGTAGAGCTCTCCTGTTGCCCACTGCTCCCCTCAGCAGTATACTTCGTCAGTCTGCCTGTTCTGTTCCCCACTCTGGCTCTGGTGAATTTTCTCACCCTCCCGTGCTTCTGACTGTACCCAGTGCTTGCATAAATAAATAAATAAATACTTAAAAAAAAAAGAAAAAAGAACATCTATGAAAAACTTCAGCTAACTCTGCACTTGATGAAATATCAAAGCTTTTCACTGTGAGCACGACAAAAAGGGCAAGGATGCTCACATCTATTAAACACTATACATTATGATCTGAGCCATTACACCCAGGCAAGAAAAAGAAATAAGTTGTATAAAGATTAGAAAGGAAGAAATAAAGCTGTTTCCAGTCACACATTACATAAGTGCTTACATAAGAAACATGAAATTTACAAAACTACTAGAACTGATAACTTCAACAAGCAACAGGATATAAGGTCAAAATATAAAAATCAACTATTTCATATACTAGCAAAAACCTAGAATATCAAAAGCATGCATGGGAAAAAAGTACAAAATCATACCACCTGACTTCAAAACTTACCACAGAAATACACTAATCAGGACTAGGTAGTAATCACCTAAGGATATCCAAATAAATCAACATAATAGAATAGGAAGTCTAGAAATGCACCCACATTTTTAAGTCACTTGATTTTTGACCAACACAGTAGGGAATACAAAGTATTTCCAACAAATGGTGCTGAAACCACTTGCTGTTCACATGCGGAAAAAAATGAAATTTAACCACTAACTTATTTTATATACAAACATTAAGATGGATCTGAGACCCTAAGAGTCAAAGCTAAAATTACAAAGTTTCTAGAAGAAAAAAAAGATGATTTTCGTAGAGGTAGATGGAGGATTTTTAGACAAAATAAAGAAAGCAAAAACCAGAAAAGAAGAGCATATAACCTACATAAGATCTGTATACAGAATAGATAATAATTATTACAGAATTATAATAATATAATTCCTATAGCTTATAGTAAAAAAGAACGCCCCCCCCAATAAAAGGCAAAAAATTTGAATAGCCATGTCATATAAGAATACCAAAAAAAAAAATTAAAAATGCTCAACATTAATAGTCATGAGTGAAATGGGAATTAAAACTATAATGAGATACCAATACAAAATCTAGAATGACTAAAATTACAATGATTGATAACACTCAATGTTGATAAGAATGGGGGACAGTTGGGTCATACTTTGTCAGCAGGACTGTAAACAGTACAACCACTTTTGAAAACAAACTATTGGGATATGCAAAACATGAATCTCAAAAACCCTAAGGAGAAATGAAAGAAGCTTTACACAAATAAGTATATATGACTCCATTTATATGAAGTCCTAGATCCGGCAAAATAATCTATTTTTGAAATAATCAGAACAATATATACCTCTGAAAGGAGGTATGGATGGGATTGTCTGAGCATGAGGTAACTCAAGAATGATGAAGGATGAAGGTATTGTACATTTTTTTTTTAAGATTTATTGATTTATGCATATAAGAACTGGAGTACAGGCCAGAGATGTGTGTTGGGGGAGGTGGTGGTGGTGAGAGGATTCACCAGAGACAGAGTGGGGAACAGAACAGATGGATTGACTGAAATACACTGCTGAGGGTAGCAGTGAGTGAGAGAGTAGAGGTCTGCTGCACCTTGTGGGTCACCCCACTGGCCAGGGATGGAACTCGTGATGCAGTGGCTGCAGATAACGTCATAGCGCTATCTCTTAATCCCTTGTGCCACCAAGGAGGCCCCAGTGTTGTACATTTTAATAGAGTTATAGGTATTTGTAAATTTTCACAACACTGTATACTTGATATTTATGCAAATGACTGCACATAAATTTTTCCTCAAAATCTAAACAAACACCAAAATCATTAAAAACTGCATGCTGAAGTGTTTAGGGAGTAAAGATTACTGATGCATTTAAAAAGTTAACTAGTGGGGGACTGGGAAATACTTATTTGAGAAAGCTGCTTATTTGGGGACATGGGAGTATGAGGAAGACATTTAAATATTCATATGAAGAGATCCCAAGGGGTAATGTTATCCCATGTATCTCACAATTTAAAGAGTGTACAATAAATGCCCTGCTAACTATGTCAACTATTATGGCATCATGTGACCCAGGTGTCCTTCACTTACAGAGCCCAAGAATGACAAAAATGATTAAAATTCAAAAATCTGAACAATTACTTTCCCTTATTAAGAAATGTTATTTTTAAAATATTTTAACATTATGAATAAAATTGGTTTATAATCGCAATTCTCAGCTAGAACATACATCAAAAGATATTTCCATTTAACCTTTAGTGCTACTCTGAGAATATAGTAACTATCTCAGATTTATTAATATTTCATTAAATTTTGATTCAGATTTTCTGTAACAGACAGCACAAGTAACTTCATTTTACCAATGAAAGATCATTTTTTTAAAAGGGAATATAAAAATCTACATTGAAATTTATTTCTTTTTTTTTAGCATATGGTGAAATGAATCACAATCTATGCTTGTATAGGTAATAATATAACTTTAGTGGCTAGTGGCTAATAAGGAAGGAAAAACAATCAAGGAGAAACTGTAAAAGATTCAAATTTGTTTTTTTACATTTTAAAAGTGTAAGTTTATTAGGAAAAGGAGAAAGGGAGACGCACCTACATATTCACAGGTGGGGGGGAGAGCTGCCCACATTTTTACTTAGAAAACATGTAGTCCTTATTGATGGAGCTAGAAGGGATTATATTCAGTGAAATAAGTCAGAAGGAAAAAGAAAAATATTGGATGGTATCACTTATAGGAGGAATAGAGGGGAACCAAATAAGGAATCAGGGAGAAAAATAACAACAATAAAGAAAATGTCACCCTTAATGACCAATAAACTTTGGCCCTTAAGGGTGTCAAGTGAAGAATATACAATTAAAAACTGAGAGATTGTAAATAATCAAAACAACCAAAAATCATAAAAGTAAACAAAACTAAAACTAAAAACAAAACAAAAAAACTAATAGGACAAGGGTTAATGGTACCTTGCATATTCAATAACAGATAGTCCAACAATTTAAGAATTTTAAAAATAGTGAAATTTTTAAAACTTACCCTTTTTGCTTCAAAGGTAATTCAAGTTTAAATATGGTAGCATCATTAACAACTGCTTTATATGCCTGCAAATAATTTCAAATGAAATATGAACATTATTTCTATAATTAAAATACACAGCTAAATTGTTACAATTTCAAAAACACATTGAAATGATGAATTAGTTTTAATTTTTAATGGTGTTATCTGGCCTTGTAGAATTTTTTAAAGTCAATGACTTTATTTTTTTTTAAAGCCTTATTTTTATTTATTTATGCATATAAGTAAGAACTAGGATACAGGCCAGAGGTGCTAGGGGTGAGAGAATTCACCAGAGACAGAGTGGGGAGCAGAATAGGTGGATTTACTGAAATACATTATTAAGGGGAGCAGTGAGTGAGACAGGAGAGGTCTGCTGGCCATGTGGGCTAGCTCCCTGGCCAGGGATCAAACTCAGGCCACAGTGGTGATAGTATGATAGTGCTGAGACTTAACCCCTACGCTACCAGGGAGGCTGAAGTCAATGAGTTTAGCATGTTCCTTGCCATATTATGATTATTACTATCAAGAGAGGGTAGGTCTTACTGCTGCCTTGTAACTACACTATTTCCTCCTATCTACACATTCACCTAGACAACATTTCTATACCATCACTTTTCTCTTCAAACCTCCAGTATTTCCTTCTCCATGTATACTCTCAAGCTGATGTGGCTTTCTATTTCATGGATAAAACTGAAGTAGTCAGAATCCTCTCCTATATCTCCTGCATCATTAACTTTTCCCCTCTTCATTGCTTCTGTTGCCCTAGCATACAAACATATTGTAATTTTCTATATCTTAAAAATTCTTGGTTTTATCCACTTTCAGCTACTGCCCCAGAATTTCTCTCCTTCCCTTTAAGCTAACACCCTGGAAGAAAGATCTAACTCGCTGTTCTCCAATTTATCTACTGCCATTCTTATAGGAAACTACTGTACCATGCTTTCATTCCACTAATCCACCTAATCCTTGTCAAAATCACTCACAAGCTCCACAATGAAGACAAAGGTTAATCCCCATCTTATCTGATCTATCAACAGCATTTTAAAACAGCAGATCATGCCCACTCCCTGAAAGTGCTTTTCCTATTTGTGTTGCACACCACTCTGTCATACCACTCATGCCCTCTCCAAAAGAGAGAACTGACCTTTCTGACAACTAAATTTAGAACACCCAGGTCATAACTCTGGTGATTTTGGCCAGTGTCAGTGCTATAATCATCTCTATATACTGAAGCTCCCAAACTTATTTTCCAGATACATGCCCTCTCTTAAGCTCTGGGTCTGACATTGCCATGTGGATATTTATTAACTGGTCTAGAACCAAGCTCCTAATCTCTCTTTAACTAGCTCCTCAAAACCTGCTTCACCTAGGTGCAGCGGTTGAGCGCTGGGTTGCGAAGCTGCCCGCAGCCTCTGCGGCACCGGTTCGATCCCCGGCTGCTCCCCGGCCACTGGAGGAGGGTCCCACATGGCGCGCAGACCTCTCCTGCCGCCCGCTGCTCCCCTCAGCAGTGTACTTCGGTCCTTCTGCCTGCTCTGCTCCCTGCTCTGGCTCTGGTGAATTCTCTCACCCTCCCATGCTTCTGACTGTACCCAGTGCTTGTATAAACAAACCATCAAACAAAACAAACAAATAAATAAAACATGCCTCTATAAAAAATAAATAAATAAATAAAACCTGCTTCACCTAAAGTTTTCCACATCTCAGCACAGTTATTATTTTAATTGACCAGAACAAAAAACTGAGTGTCACATTCTGAACAAGTCTCCTTCTATCACATTCTACATTGATTTATTAGCAAACCCTGTGTAGTCTACTTTCATAACATAATCAGAATCCAACCACTTTTGACTATCTTTACCACAGTATCTCTGGGTCAAGCTTCTATCATTACTTTACAGGTTCTTAACTGATATTCTTGCTTCTTCTCTAGCTCCCCCCTTCAGTCTATTCTTTTTGCAGCAGCCAGGTGATACTGTTAAAATGTAAGTCAGGTCCTGTCACTCTGTTCAAAATCTTTCAATGACTTCCCATCCTACTAAGAGTGAAAACCAAACTCTCTACCATGGCTCAGATTTTATGATCTGCCTCTTATTGTCTCTTTGACTTCATTTCCTGCTATTCTCCCCTCAGTCAACCCTCTGTGGTCACCAAGACCTCTTTCTTCTTAGCTCCCGGAACACGGCAAGTATATTTCTACCTTAGAGCCTTTGCATCTGTTCTCCCCTCTGGCTGAAACAATCTTCCCTCAGACAACCACATGACTTAATTCCTTCAGCATCTTCAATTTTAATTCAAATATCATCTCAATGAAGCCTCAGTAGGCCACTGAATTTATGTTTCAAATGACCTCAATAACTCCATACCCCCCTGAAAACGCTTTCCTCAGCCTCCCCTCTTTCTATTTATTTAACTGAAGAAAGTTGGTTATTTTCTTAGAGTCACAGGGAATAAAATCTAACTTGCGAAGTAATGAAAGGTAATGAAGAGGGGGGAAAAGCCAATGGCAACTTTGAGTGATAGATTTGTGATATTTGAAAGACACAACTCTCAGGATAATACTAAGTTTCATTATCAATATCCCACACAGGATGGAAAAGGAGGTATGAGAAGCAAGGATAAATTTGACACAGCTCTCACAGGAACTCTATGAAAGAAGAGAGTACAGAAGAATCAACTCTGGGACATGATAAGGGTTGGGAAATCATTGAAGTTCCGGGAGAGCTGTAATTTGACTTGGATCTTAAAGAAAGGATGATCAGGAATTCAATAATCAAATATTCAGGCTTTCTCTGAAAAATGAGGACGAAAGCAACTTTCTAGCTAAATTGTAGTTCACAACTTAACCAATGCTTACAAAAACAAAAATAAGTATAGTTATTGTGAACTAACAGAGAAAAAACTAGATTTTTAGCTTGTAATTTAGTAGCACAATGAAACAAACTTAAAAGTAAATGATGACAGTAGTGTTAATACACAGGAATATTTACCTTATCTCTTGCAGTGAGAAATCGTGGATCATCTTGAAAAGCTTCTTTGACAAGTTTACTAAATCTATTAAACAGTGTAAGTAACTGCTCAACATATTTCTCAGAGTCCTAGAGACAAAATTATTTTTATCAATTTAGTTTTTAGAAATAAAATAAAACAAAAAATGAGAATACATACATACATACAAACAATTTTATCACGTTTATTAACTATCGCTTTAAATTTTTGGAAATTTTTTCTTGATTTTTTTTCTTAAAATCTAAAGATGTTTCAGTATTACTGACCTGCCATCAATTATAATATTAAATACCTGTCCTGGATTTTAAAAAAGCCCTTCACATACATCTATCACTGCCATTGAGGAAAACTTACAGTAGTAATAGTTTCAGCAGCTGCCACCATATCTGCCAGGCCAGCACTAATGATATGCTCCTCCAAGTCTTTCAACATTGGCTCTATCCCATTAGGAACTTTGTCCATCAATGAAAACATTAAATGTAATTCTGAAAGGATAGAATATACTCATGTAATGATGCCATTCATTAGAATAAATCTTTTCTTTAAATTATATCATGGTATACGTATAGCATGTCTATGCGAGTAACAGTGTGGAGAAGTATTAGTTGGAGGGTGTTAATATTAATAGTATTCTGTGGGTACAGTTAGTTCAGGAGTTATTATGACAATTACAGATTGTCAGATTGACAAAAATGATTAATTTTTTTAAAAAAATGATTTTTTTGACAAAAATTATTCCTTAAAAGAATTATAGTTAAAAGTGATCACACATTGCAACCCTACTCTTAAAAAAGTGAGTCATTTGACCTCCAACACAATGGAATATTTTTTATTCTAGGAAGTAAAAGAGTTTATACAGAATAGTACATTTAATTAAATATAATATTGAATATATAACCATGTTGAGGAGTAAAAAAGCTATATTAGTCAGAATAGTAATTATAAAAGATAAAATAAAACTGGATTCATAAAAAATTTTTCACTTTATAAAAGAACTTTCTTACGTTACATATACTATTTACATGACCTTTACCAAAATCTAACCATAAAGAACGGTTGCCATTAAATAAATCCTTTGGAAGGGAGTACAAGATCAGACATAACTACTTAGCTTTGGAAACAGAAACTCAAACATTTCATTTATGCTACTGAGTAGTATGCTCTCTGCTATATAACTACATCAAAAGAATGTATGAACTTAAGTGAGTTTAAATATGACTGTGAAATAACATACAATAAAAACTGGAGAGTAATATGTCAAAATGTTCAAAATGTGGTTAACTCTGAGTAACGGATGTGGGTAAATTTCACTGATTTTTTTTTTTTTTTTAAAGTCAACAAGGCATGTTTTTTATTTATTTATTTGTTTGTTTGTTTTTGTTTGTACATGCACTGGGTACAGTCAGAAGCGTGGGAGGGTGAGAGAATTCACCAGAGCCAGAGCGGGGAGCAGAGCAGGCAGAAGGACCGAAATACACTGCTGAGGGGAGCAGTGGGCGGCAGGAGAGGTCTGCACGCCATGTGGGACCCTCCTCCGGTGGCCAGGGAGCAGCTGGGGATCGAACCGGTGCCGCAGAGGCCGCAGGCAGCTTCGCAACCCAGCGCTCAACCACTGCGCCACCGGGGAGGCCCTGATTTTCTTTTTGGTTGTGATGTACTTGCTATATCCCCAAATTTACCTTAATTAAGAAAACTTTTAGGTAATTAAAAAAATACATCCCTCTTTTTGGAAGAGGGATGATAACTGTTAATGCAGTGCTAAATACATAATACTGTCCTATACTATATGTTTATAATTTTTTAATTTGATTTTTTTTAAGATTTATTTATTTATGCATAGAAGAACTGGGTGAAGGCCAGAGGTATGGGGGATGAGAGGATTCACCAGAGACAGAGGGGAGCAGAACAGATGGATCGACTGAAATACACTGCTGAGGGGAGCAGCAGGTGAGACAGGAGAGGTCTGCTGTGCCATGTGGGTCAGCTCCCTGGCTGAGTTTCGAATTCAGGCCATAGTGGTGATAGAATTGAAACAATCAACAAGCCACCAGGGAGGCCCCCTATGTTTTAAATTAAAATTAGCCTTTAAATGAAGAGTCCTACACTTAATAAAAAATTTGAAATCTCACACATATGCACATACACACAACAGTATTGATACCAAAGGAGTGAAAATGCTTAACATATAATCTTATAAATGTAATTTGTAACTGAGCAAAATAGTAAATCATTTAAATATAGTTTACAGTAACAGATATAACAGAGTTACCTAATGGCAATTTATTAAGCAATCTGTTTCAAAAATGCCTTCTGAAAAGACTGTAAGAACTTGATGTGATGTTTTACCTACTTTCAGTTTCATTTCGCTTGATCATGCCTTGGCACTCTGCTAAGATAGTCTCTTTAAAGGATGTCACCAGGGCATTTACACAGCATTCCATGAGCTGAAATACACCACAAATTGGTCAAGGTGACTAGAAGCACAAATAAGGACAAATCTATTCCATTCTACTTTGTTTTATAGCTCCATTAGGCTGCACTGTTTAACTACAGCAAAAAGTTAAGTATAATGAAAGTATATTTTACTTACCCTTAATACAGAATTGTTGAAGATGGATACTCTACACTAGTTACTAAAGTATCTTTTCCCCTAAGGAAAATGCTACAGAGTTTAGATTCTCTTCAGAATTTTTTTTTAAAGACTATTTTTTTTTAAAGATTTATTTTTATTTATTTATACAAGCACTGGGTATAGTCAAAAGCGCGGGAGGGTAAGAGAATTCACCAGAGCCAGAGTGGGGAGCAGAACAGGTAGGCTAAAGTACACTGCTGAGGGGAGCAGCGGGCGGCAGGAGAGGTCTGCGCGCCATGTGGGACCCTCCTCTGGTGGCCGGGGAGCAGCCAGGGATTGAACTGGCGCTGCAGAGGCTGCAGGCAGCCTCGCAACCCAGCGCTCAACGGCTGTGCCACCAGGGAGGCCCTCTCTTCAGAAAAAAAAATTTTTTTTTAGAGGCATGTTTTATTTATTTATTTGTTTGTTTGTTTTGTTTATACATGCACTGGGTACAGTCAGAAGCGCGGGAGGGTGAGAGAATTCACCAGAGCCAGAGCGGGGAGCAGAGCAGGCAGAAGGACCGAAGTACACTGCTGAGGGGAGCAGCAGGCGGTAGGAGAGGTCTGCGCGCCATGTGGGATCCTCCTCCAGTGGCCGGGGAGCAGCAGGGGATCGAACCGGTGCCACAGAGGCCGCGGGCAGCTTCGCAACCCAGCGCTCAACTGCTGCACAACTGGGGAGGCCCTCTCTTCAGAAATTTTTAACAAAAGTGCCCAAGCAGGGAAGGAAATAGTACAGAATGAAAAAATAAACTTTGAGAGTCTTTTCTTACCTGGAGAGAACATCAGAATTAAGACTCAAATTCTAACAGTATGAATACATTCATTTAGCCAACTATCACTGGATGCCTACTACTTGGGCACCAAGAAAGTGGTCAGGAGACATACGAGAATAAGATATAACCCCTACTTTGGAGAAGATCACATTGAAAATTTTTACTTGAATTACAAATCTCTCAAGTGAATTATATATCCTTTAAGTTATTTGTCATGACTTTTCCAACAACCTGATAGTAACACATACACACAAAAATCAGCAAAGGAATTACTTCTGTTTAAAGTAGTTAAAAATGTCATACCTACAAGATGCTTTTTAAATTGGATCTTGAAAAAATACGTATATAACTTACAGTGGATTGAGTAGTCTATGAAAAAGACAGTGGGAGTGAATGCTAGAAAGGTGGTCTAGAGCCAGAAGTATCAAAGGTTTTAAACAGAGGGTAAATGTAATGAGCTTCTACTCCCCAATTCCCAAGGATCAAGAGCAGTTGTGAGGTTATGGTAGGGAGAATAATAAAGGAGGCTGTTGAAATATTCCATGTTCGAGGACCAGGCTCCAGTGTTCTAGGAAGCCCCCAGTAAAATGACCTAAATGGGGCAGACGATGTCCACTCCACCCCCTTTCCTGCTCCCTACTATAATTATTTGGTCTTCTTGTGCTCAACATATTTCTGAGTCCTAGAGACAAAATTATTTTTATCAATTTAGTTTTCAGAAATAAAATAAAACAAAAAATGAGAATACATACATAATATAAACAACAGATTGGAAGTACTAAAGCAAGGTACACAAAAGCTGACATGTATTTTTTTTAATATTTATTTATGCATATACGAGCTAGGGTATAGGCCAGAGGTGCAGGAGGTGAGAGGATTCACCAGAGACAGAGTGGGGAGCAGAGCAAATGGATTGACCGAAATACACTGCTGAGGAGAGCAGGAGGTGAGACAGGAGAGGTCTGCTGTGCCATGTGGGTTAGCTCCTTGGCAAGGGGTCAAACTCATGCTTCAGTGGCTGCCTATAGCTTCATAGGGCTGAGACTTAATCCCTTGTGCCATCAGGGAGGTCCAGCTGACATATATCTTCTTAAAAAACAAAATAATTTATCTGCTAAGGAAGTGAATTATATATCCCTTAAGTTATTTGTTAAAAAGTCCTCTTGGAATTGATATAATTTTGACTAATTAGAGTTGAATTTAGGTAATGGTGATTCATTCCTCTATTCTAGTATAAAGAATGTCCATAATAAAAGTTTTTTCAGGTCCCTCTCTGAGAATTATGCCAATGACTTTTAAATGCACAAACATCAATTTCTGTCATAAGAGAAATAATACATACAAAGTGTTTGAGATGAGAGTGTGCCACAGAAATAAGCTCCAAGTCCCTGCACTTCCCCTCTCTTTCCTATTTCATTGAATTTATACTTGAATACAATCCTGTGCAGTAGTCAAATTTTGCAGATTTCAAAACTATAGAACAGTGTATTTCAAACTGTTTGTTGTGAGACAAGTTTTAATAGCTGTGACCAGCTTAAGAAAAAAACAAAAAACAAAAAACAGAAGAGTATCAGCGTATATATGGCACACATCACAATGAATATTATCTTTTTTTTCTTTTTTTAAAGATTTATTTATTTATTTATTTATTTATACATACATACATACATACATACATACAAGCACTGGGTACAGTCAGAAGCGCGGGAGGGTGAGAGAATTCACCAGAGCCAGAACAGGGAGCAGAACAGGCAGAAGGACCGAAGCACACTGCTGAGGGGAGCAGTGGGCGGCAGGAGAGGTCTGCGCGCCATGTGGGACCCTCCTCCGGTGGCCGGGGAGCAGCTGGAGATCGAACCGGCACTGCAGAGGCCGTGCGCAGCTTCGCAGCCCAGTGCTCAACCGCTGCGCCACCGGGGAGGCCCACAATGAATATGATTTCATAAAACTTTTCTTTAGTTACGTACAAAATTTTCATTTAGTTACGTATATACACATAGTATATACGAAGTCACAATATAAAATGTGCTTATTATGGGTTACTATGAGAATTAAAAAGACAGGCTAAATCGACAAAATTGAATTAAGCAGCTTATATAAAAGGTATTAAGGAAATAAAAGGTCGCTGAAGCTTCTCCTTAGCTTGAGAAGTTAAAATCTTATAATAGCTGATACCTTTTCGTGAGCATTTACTGTATGCCAAACATTGTGCTAAATGCTTTCCATACATGACCTCACTTAACCCAGGTGACAACATTAGGAAGTAGAAATTTAACAAGAGGAAACAAACATGGAGAAGATAAAGAATTTGACAATGTCACAGTTAGTTGGTAAGGTCGTGAGCTGTAATGAGAAGCTGGTACATGATTCCACTGCTTACAACTTTTGTTACTACATTAACAGAGCAAGATATTCTTAGTAATGGCTATTATTCTCAAAACTGAGCAAAGTGTTAAAAGGAATAGAGAAATATTAAACATGATTCATACCCTCAATGATCTTACAATCCAGATGGAAACATGTAACTAATGCACATGTGCATATTTCACATATACAGAACTACATGAAAAGAAGTTCAACCTTGCTAAGAAGTGCAAATAAATGCACCACTACTGCACTATAAACTGCACAAGGACAGAGGCTATTCTGTCCATGGCTACATATTCAGTCTCACAAACAGTTGTTTGATAAGTAACCCAACCAAGCAGTCTATGATCTACTACTAAATCAAATGGCAGAAAACAACAGGATGGAAATTCCAATAAGAGAAAATGGATAAAGGATAAGTGAATTTGGGGGCTACTTTACTGCAAATGGGCTACAAGGACTCTGAAGGATTTGGACAGGCAGAAAAAAAAAGTAACAAAAGTAGAAAGGAAAACATTAAAGAAAACACTGAATCCAAGAGAAAGATGTGAAAGAACAATGTACATGAGTTAGTAAATATTCCTTATTGAGTACAATAACTATTTATGGAGGGTATGAAGTTAAAGAAAAAGCTCAGGACCAAGTTATGAATCATTTTGAAAATCAGAGATAGGAAATAAAATGATATTATTGTAAAAAAAAAGTTTATGAAAGATTAGTCTGAACTCACAAAAGAACACAAATGGTAATAAAGATGCCCCGTCTCATGAATAATTTTTAAATGTACATAAAAATCCCTAAAAATTTATGATACTGGGAAATTGGCAAAAATTCATCTACTGATGAAACCCACATCAGCAAAGATAAACAGGTACATTATTGACGACAGTAAGAGTTACAACAATATTTATGAAAATCATTAGGTATTACACAGCAACTTATAAAAGATGCTTTCCCTTTGCTTCAACAATTTTCTTTTCAAAGTACATATATATGATGAAATACATGTAGGCATGACAATGTTGTAATAAAGAAGTGTTTAGCATAAAAATGCACGATGTCCTAAATTTCTTTTAAAATGCAAGAGAAAAGAAAGAAAGAAAAAAGAAAAAAGGGCTCAACCACGACAAAATGATAATTATTATTGAATCTAAGGTCTACATATAGGGGCTGGGGCTCACTATACAGTTTTCTCTATTCCTGCAAATGCTTGAAAACTTTCATCACAAAGCTTTTTTAAAAATAAAGAAGAGAAATATGGTATAGATCTCTGTGTATTGAAAATCCTTTAGAAAATGATTTTATGCAGACAAAAAGAAAGGCAGATTGCTTGATAAGAGTTTTCTCCTTATTTCAAGATTCTTGTCTTAACGAGATCAGTTCCTTGAGGGCAGAGACCATGTTATTCCTCTTTTGTATTCTTTCCCATGATTTACCAAAGCACTATATACATAGTCTGCCTAAATATATACTTGTTATTTCAAAAATACATCTTGAATGGAAAAGATAGTGATAAGCCATCTCTCTCACCTTGTATTCCCTTTCTGTCTCCGTGAAGAAAAAAACTTTTTGCATATGCCACCAACTCCTGTATTTTGCCTGAGATGAGCACAACTTCTAAATCCATAGCAATCTCTCCCCAGAGGTCTGCAAGGTGAAACACTTTAACTATCAATATGCTTGAAGGT